TTAGCCAAAAACAATTCATCAGGTGGACCCAAGTAACAAAACAACAAACAATGGCTGAATATCAAACAACTTAGTGTAAACAGTTTCGAAAACCATCTCTCAATTTTAAACTTTTGCCATTTCGTCTGTCTAAATAAAAGTTAAATTCGCATTATGTGAATTACAATATTTATAAAGCATTAAGACAATTATTCAAAAATTCAAATTGAGTAATTAGCAAAACAAACAACTGAATAACTCTATACACATAACCAAAAATGGAAGCTACACATATTTACATGATGATAATTTATAATCCTTATTGCACCATATGAGAAGAGAAATACAAGCATTTCCTGTGCAGCAACATAGTCCTCTTCCTTAGAACACTTGACACGATCACTTGAAAATGTACTAACACTAGCCAGCAGTAAAGCAGCTACAGATGGTATTAAATTGTCGATGCTGTGCCTTGAAAAAAAACCAAAAGAGCACTTTTATTTGCGGGCTGGAAAACAGAAGTTTGCATAACGAACTTAAAAAAAGAAAGGGCCGAAAGACAGTTGGAAAAGAGTCATGAACGCCAGGAACTAGAGAAAAAATTATGACTTGTTTTTTTTTGAAAAAAAACTTTAACTTGAAAACTTCAAAAAAAAACTTTCAAGCTCTTTGAGTTTCAAGAATAATTGATGATTTATCTTTTTTCAATAAAATTAACCAATTTGAGAAAAAACGGATCAATAGGTTATGAGTTATTGCTAGAGGTATCATACTCATAGAGTAATTTCAAATAAGGCACACCGTCTGTTCGTCACGCTATCTTATTTTCGGCAGGATATTCGTGCAACTTCTTAGTCTAATACCAATCTTAATACTCTTATATCTCCTAGTCGCAATAGATCTAGTGTATAATGGTATTCGCGAGTTAGGTTTATGGAACTTGTTCCAAAGGAGAACAACTGTCTTCTAAGATTTGTTCAAATTCTTCTGTTGCTGAAACTACAAAAAGTTTCAGCACTACAAATAATTGTCAGCGTTAGTTATGGATCATGATTGGTTAGAAAGGAATATTTTATCGTGATAGTTTTATCAAGAATATAATTGGTTATAAATACTTGTTTTAAACTGGTTCCAGTTAGCTTTTTACTCCGCTGGGAAATCTGATAATTGAAATACCAATTCGAAACTAGACCTTTATTTGACCTTTGAGCTTTTGCTATTCAATAGTCGAGTTTGCCTTCCTTCCAACAAAAAAAAAGAAATGGATTTAAAAAGAAATCAAAAGTCCAACAGCAAAAAAAATCAAACTTTAGCGTGAACAAGCTTAATTAATTTTTCCTGAAAACAAAAACAAGGAAAAAATTCACCAAGACCTATATAAGAGTATTCACTACTTTCATGTTTATTAATTAATGCTGGAAATAAATTTTGAGATATAGTCTCAAATTTCAGAGCCCAGCAGATTAGCTTGTCATATAAATATTCTTATCCCAACTGGAACCACGCGGTTCAAATCAGTTGCCTGAGTGTGAAGCAACATTTCTCACACAGAGACAAAGCCTCCAGGAGCATTAAAAAGCACAACAACTGACAAATTTTCAAGTAATATATTGAAAGTAGTAAGCTGAAGACAACCACGCTAACTTTGCATGCAATCAATTAGTGTATTAAGCTAAATTGCGTTAGCATTTCAAAAAACTCGCGAGGTAATTCGAATTGGAAAATTTCTTAAATGATTTTTAAACAGCTTTATTAAAAACAGCTTTGTTCGGTTTCAATTGAAGAATCAAAAAAGCATCATCTGTGTTAGTTTATTGCTAATCAAATGTAACCTAATGCTAACCTACTAACTCATAAGTTCCACTAAAAAGTGGAACTTTTAATTGCAATTTTGGTTGAAAAAAAAAAAGATGCATCGTACTATCACACTACGCTAGGTTCGTGTAAACACAGTAAATTAACCAAAAAAGCAAAATTTTTCATTGCGGTCACAACAGCAGTTCTCCGCAAAGAGCTCAAAAGCTCCTATGTTAATAAAATGGCCTTTATTTTAAGATACTGCTATGAGACCTCGTTAAGAAAGGTTCTGCGAAGATGACAAGGCTACGTTTGATGTGCACAGTCAATTACATAAAAGGTTATGACGGTGAAAGTGGAAGGAGTTCTTCGTCATTCACAACTTGAGATACTCTGTTGTTAAGTTTTCCTGCGCATAATCTATTACAACAAGACTTCACTGACGACAAACAATGCACTACCCTGTCTTCGCATGCACCCCGCAACTTTTCTCCTTCCGACACTGCCGGTTCTGCTTGGTGGGGGAGGAGGGGTAGGTTTTCGTTCTCGTCTTCTTCGACACAGCAGCACATTGGAATGACCAGATCTTCTAGTATTATCCAGACACCCATAAGTCCAATGAACAGTTCAAGCAGGCAGAGTGTCTGAAACAGAGCAAACTTGGAACCGTTAATATTTAAAACTTCGATTGCAAGAACTATTGAGTAAAAACCGTTAATAATTCTGTTATGTTTAACATTTGAACAATACGCTTCACAATAAACCATCTCAAAATTACTTGAGTGGCACGGAAAAAATAATCCGAAAAAATTGCGAAAACGGTTATAGAAATAAGTTCAATGTGACCTTAAGAACGTAATAAGGAATGAGATGTTCGTTGTGGCCGAAGTCAATCAGTCGCTGACTGCAGGTCAAGTTCATTGATAGCGTCTTCAGGTCATCAATGTCCAAACTCTGCGCTTCCTCCACCAATCTGAACATGCCACTCGTATTGCTTTAACGAATGAGTGAAACTCCACTAATTTGATGTATGACATTTTTCTGCGGAGGAACGAGTGAAAAAGAGCACCCTAGGCTTGCATTGGAGCAGTGCACAAGTTCGTCAATTAATCCGCGAGTACAATATTCAGTTGGTCAGTTAGGGCGAAAAATTGTACACTTAAAAGAACAAAGTTCGCGCTTTTCTGATTAGTTTAAAAAACAAACCTAAAAACATTTCATTTTGCAAAAAATCACAACTAACTTGATTCTCTTAGCAACTTCCTCGTGAGGCAGTGGTGACCCATGAAAAGTCAATCTCCAGTAATGCAGGACTGCACATGTTTTAGACTGTTCTCCATACTTATCCAGACAAGCACCATCAGATCCAAATCCCAGCGTCTCCTTTACAGTGGCAAGAAAATCTGATATGGATCCTTGTGAGATACGACCGTGTTTAGCGAACGGTTCAAGAGTTAGGGTAAGCTTCCACGCACCCACGGGTGATTCGCCAAAGAAATGCAGAGAGTTGAAGTTGAACTGCAAAAGTTGCTCATCTCTGAAAACAAAACAAAACAAAACAAAAACTGAAATACTTCTTTCGGGCATTAGAACTCAAAGCAAACTTGAAATCCTATAAATGGGTCTGAAGCTTAATGGCCTCTTTAATACGAAAAAGTACTCTTATTCAAGTTTTCTGTGCGATTTCACTTCAATAACAAACTGCTTTGTATATCAAAGCAAAGTTTGGAAATAATTAGAAAATGCACCAGAAAATCTTGAGCCAGGGACAAAAATTTAGTCTTTTTCTTAAAACCAGCCTTTCAAAACAGACATCTGCTTACAAATCGTTCTTGCGAGTGGGTATTAGACGTGATTTGGAGCCTGCTGGGGAAGTCAGCACCCCTGAGATAGCGCCTCTCGCTGGAGCCCAGGCCTTGATAGTCAGGACGACCTGTTCTATAGTGTATAAGTAGAACTCACTCGCCGTTTCTTCAGTTACTAAACACAATGAGGGCCTATTACCTTCAATAACCCAGCACCTCATTCAATGATAAACTCGACCTTGATGCGCTTAGCTCAAGAGGAATAATACTGAAACAATGTTTGAATAAATACAAGAACAACTTGTCAAGTAACGAAGCTGCACTTCAACGGAAGTTTGCTTATTTGATGCCCGAACTGTACTACTTTTATAGGCTGACTGATTCGAATAGCAACTCGAATTTTTTCACAAAATTAACGAAAGGAGCGCTATTATCTTGCCAGAAAACTTTCAACGAACCGACGCTCTTAGAAATGCCCAAAACTGGCTGAATTTCACGCTTTTTTCATTCCAATTTTTAAACACAGGCGAAGCTGAGCTTCGCACCATTTGCAATACAAATCAAGAAAGCCGCTAAATCGAAAAAAGCAAAAATGTCGAAAAACTAGATCTATTCAAAAGAACAAGTCTAGTTTGAAACAAAAACATGCCAGGACAATAGAATGTGAAATAAGTATTACGTTTCAAATGGCATAATTCCCAAATGGCATAAAAATGAAAAATTTCCCAAATAGCATAAATTTCATTCAACAGTTGCATTGAAAAAGTCGAGAGCAACTTTTTTGTGAAAAATGTGAGGAAATTAGTCAATTCAAATTTCGTTGACCTTTCATCTGGAAAAATTGTAGAATTTTTTTTATCAAAAGCGAAAAGCATAAGATTGCGGTTATTGATAAGCGTCTTGTGCTCAAACGCATAAAATTTGTTTGGAAGCAATTAATTCCAAATACTGTTCACATGCTTTCGTTTTTGGCAAAATATTAGAATTAGATACTGAGAGAAAACGTTTAAATTACAATGAAAACTTGAAATGTATGCCATTTGGGAAAAGTTTCTTTTTTATGCCATTTGGGAATTATGCCATTTGCGAAGTTACCGAAATAAGCATCGGAAGAAGGTTTAGCAAAAGTAACCAAGCCGAAAATACTTCAACAAGACTTAAGATTTTAGAGAAGTTGAAAAAATCCCCCTCGCCCTCAACACACACAAAACTTAACTTGCTCGTCAAATGAAGCACTATGAGGTCACTAAGCCGATATTATATAGGCCGAAACCTACTAACCTAATTTAAAAAAGTTGTATTAAAAACATTTAGGTCTTCAACCTCAAACCACACGCACATACTTTTCCCCTCGTCGAAAGTCGCAATATTAGACCATTAGCCGATTTATTATACGCCGAAATCTATCAAGCGGTAAGAAAAGAAAAAGGGCTATGATGAACAACTATAATTTCTATTAAGGTTTTTAACATTTTGTGCAATCCGGCAAGAAGTTCCTGAAAAAAGTATATTTATATATACAAACGATGTCAAGGTTAGAAAAATTACTAACAACAGAAAAAAATCAAAACCCTAAAATCAAGTACAATTTAATTTGCAAACAGTAAAAAACAGCAAAAAAAATCCGACGAAACATGTGCAGAAACGTGATATTTCGCGTTAGTAAAAAGTAAATACGGTCACATTTGAGCCCAAGAACTTTTGCCGTCCCAAGCGTTTTTGTTACCTCCAGGTCAATTGTTCCGGAGACGCAAAGAAATAAGAAATCAATATGAGCTGAAACTAAGACTACCATTTCTAATTTTGACCTTTTTGTGAACAAACTTATTTACTTGAAAAATGTCTAGTACCCGATAACAGTTCCCGTAATTATGGCTGCGCTTCGCAAACACTAGCGAGAACACGACAAAAAGCAGCTTTATAAGGTGAAAAAGAAAAGGTAGAAATAAGCCTCGAATTAGTAAACCTTTGCTACGTATGGCCTTCGAAGCTGGGACCTCATAAATCGGATTCTCACGTCATGGCCTCGCAGCCACGAACGGTTAACAACCGATAAACACTAGACAAACAAAGCAGCTATATATGCTAACAAATTGCCAATGCCATGCAGCGAAAGTGGCAACATATACAAATAGACACAATAAACAAGTAATAGTTTGGAATATAACAAACTGAAGGCATCCAGAATAATGTCGCATGTAACAAATTGTAAAGCATAACACCAAATTATGTGTAAATTATGCATTTAAAAAATTGCGAGATATATTGAGTTAGAAAATAACTGAAAGCAAAGTTTTGTGATTGTTATGTTGAGTTAGAAAATATCGAGTTAGAAAATATCTGAAATCGAAGTTTTATGATTGTTATGTTGCTTGAAACAAACAGCTTTTTTCGGTTCATTTTGAAATTACAAAGAAGCGAAGCTTCACTTCGCAAACACTATCGAGAACACGACAAAAAACAGCTCTAGAAAATTCAAAAAAAAAAATACAAATAAGCCTCGAATTAGCAAAAATTCGACTAGGTCTAGGATTTGATATGCGACCTACTGCAATCAAGAAATTTTGCTAACCAGGCACTAACCGCTAAATCATGAGCTTTTCTCACGCACTAACCACCGACAAACACTAGTCACGAATAAAGCAGCTACATATGATAATGAATTGCCAATGCATTTCAGCAAAAGTGGCACCAAATACAAATAGACTCAATTTTTCGAGTATTAATTGTGAATATAACAAGCTGAAGGCATCCACACCAAATTTGCGTGAAGCAAATTGCAAAGCATAAAGCCACATGATGTATAAATTATGCATTTAAAAATATTGCGAGATATATTGAGTTAGAAAAATTCGGAGATAGAGTTTTCATGATTTTTGTTGTTTTTCGGTTCATTTGATAAATTAAAAATGCTGTGTTGATTTATTGCTTTTCGAATGTCAAAGCACATGCTATGAAGAAGCTGTAAAGGTGCCCCAAAATTGGCACCAAGATTTGCGACTTAGGTTAGAAAAAAATAGTAGTAGTATAACACTAACGCTCACTAAAGTTGCTAGTGTAATTATAAATTTGGATTGGGAAACTTAATTTTCGAGCGTGTGGCCATGAAAGATTTTCTCTAACAGAAGGACTTACGGTTGTAGGTGACTTTTAGCTCATCGTGAACTGTGAATTTCAAATCACCATCTCCATTCAAAACCGGTGTAGAAAATATCGTCATCCAGGGAACTCCGGGCCATACCAAAGCCGCTTTGACCAGTCTAGTTGCAGATAGGATTCCGAAACCGTGTTTGTTCGTGTGGTACAGCCCAGCTCCATTCAATGACCACGGTTCGCTCACTTCGGCTGTCATCATTGCAACATGTCGACTAGTTAATGCTGTTATCCAGAACACGTCGCGCACAATCAAACAAGGACGCGCTTCGAGAACGAGACCTAGATGAGTTTTATTTGATTACCTCAAATCTGTTTCAAGATCAATGAACAGCCAAATTCTAAGAATATAAGCACGAAGACGTCACTTTCGAATCAAGGTGAAAAACAACTTAACTGAATTGAACAGATGAGCAATCATTAGCAATTCGTTCGTTGCCAAAAAAGCACAATTTGAAATACTTTCTAGGAACAACCTCGGAAAGGAAGCTTACTGGAGGGTATCTTGACAAAAACTTTATTATGTAATTAATGTTATCTGGTTGAAAGAGGCCTTTTTTATTGAGGGCGACTTTCATTAAGGGTGCCTCATAGTACTTGTCATAGACACAGAGGCAAAGCGGATCTTCGCACCATTTGCGATTCAAGATGAAAATAACAGTTCAAGCTAGCAGACAGGAAAAAAGCCACTAAGTCCGAAACAAATTTAAAAAAACTCAAATACACTACAAAAAAATCAAAATGTTGTCTGAAATCATGATTTATTTGCGGAAAAATTTCCAGAAACACAATCGACGGTGTTTAATGAAATTTCAAAATTATTTATCGAGCGGCAACTGAGCCGACAAAATTTAAACAATTTCCCGTAGAACCGAAAATAAAATTATTGGCATGAAAATTATAGATCTATTTTAAGCATTTTAGCATTTTGTGCAATCCGAAATGAAGCAATCCAAAAAGTTATGCTTCCCCTGAAACGACCCTAAATTAGGTCACCAAGCCGATAGAAATAAGCAGAAGTCAATTAAGCTGAAAAAAGTTTTAAAGCAAAAAAAAAGCGAAGTATACGAAGTCATGGTTGGTAAAATTAAACATTGCAGGAGTAATTCAAAGCACTTTGTTATGTAAAATCGCGTACAAACAGAGCAATTCTACGATGTGGCAACTAAGACGACAAAACATAAGCATACAAATCATAGGCCGACAATTGTTTTTGGAAAGGAATATTTTTCCAGTGTGAAAAAAAAACCTAGGTCAGATTCGAACCCACAACCTCTGCTTCCCAGGCGTATTTTTCACCTCCAGGTTAAGTGTCTCAGATGCATGAAAACTTAAATTCTTAATGAACCTAGATACTAATGATTATGTTAAACAAATTGTTAACCCGAAAAAATCTATAATCGCTGTTGAGATTTGAAGTGATTTATAATTAATCTGGATCAGTTCGTTTTTCGAAAGAAGCTTTTGAAACATAAAAGGTATCTAATTTGTTTGAGAGTGCTTTTTGTTAGAATTATTCACGAATAAAAGCGTTTCTTTAAATTGAGAGCTTTTTCTAATCGGGACGGCTCTGTGGTCATGAAAAAACGTAAGCAATAATGGCAATACTGCAATCTATTCCAATGTTTTTTTCCGTATAGTACTCACTGTATATGCCAGCAGCTAGGGGTGCAGACGCTGATGTTCCAGAAAACGAATCGGTGCACCCAGTTCCTAGACCCAACAACCAGTCAGTAGTAGTCTAAAACAAACAGCAGTAAAGAAAACATAACTAACAGGCAAATAGAGAAGTTGTAGGATTCAGGAAAAAGAATCAGCCATCGGACATTGAAAAAGTTTCCATAAAATCCAGAAACAAAAAAACTGCTTATTGTCATTGTTTAATTCAAACCGAAAGATAACTTACCAAAAAAAATCGGACTTTTAACCAACCTAAAAACAACAACCTCAAAAATATAGTGTAATTAAAACTCAGATATCCGGAAAATACATCAGTAATCAAAATCCTAGAGTTGAACAAATGATTCACGTGTTCTTGTTGAACAAGTTGTCAAATTGAAAACTGATTACTCTTGTTGTTCCGACCATTTGAAAAATGGGGGAGAACTTTGTATTCGGGCATGCAATCAGCTACCACAAACAACCAGCGCAATGGGTCGAGTGATATGTCACATAAAATCACTTTCAGTCGTGATTTGAAAAGATTTCCTCAGTGTCGAGAAAAACCGTTGTGAAATTTTTGATATTCGTTTCGAGCTAATAAGGTGAGCTTAATAATGCTTAATTTGTTAAGCCGTAGGAACTTAGTTCACTTGATTAAAACTAGTTTTTGATGTATTTAGCGCCATTTTCGGGATCAAAAACTTCAATAATTCAAAAAATTTCTTCAAAATTTCGAATTTTTTTAAATTATTTCTTTCGTTGAGGTCTTATCACACAGCGCAGAAAAAACTACACTAATTTAAAAAAACTTTAGTTGTATTTTTCACACAGAGGTGAAGCTGTGCTCCGCAAACACTAGCAAGAACCGGACAAAAAGCAACTATATAAAGTTGAAGAGGAAAAATTAGAAATTAGCCTCGAATTAGTAAAAATTCGGCTTTGTCTCGGATTCGAACCTGCGACATACTGCAACCTAGAAATTATGAGTCTCACGTACTACCTACTCAGCCACGGACACTTAATTAATGACAAACACTAGCCAGAAATAAAGCAGAGAACAGATGCTATGCAATTTCCAATCCTACAGTTAAATTTCTATATAAGTGAACACTTTGAATTAACACTTTCATTTGCGAGTTAGGTTAGAAAAAAGGCACATATTGACTATAGTGGGAACATTCTGTGCTACTTGGATAGTAACTGGCTATGCTTGTATATATTGTAGCGATGACACACGTACCACTCCAGGACTGAAAGGAACGGTATACGAGTCTCCTCCACTGTATGCCAGACCCAGCAGACCAGAGCAACTCTCGCAGTAACCAGGAACTTGATCATGACTGTCAATGGCACCTGGGCAATATTCAAATGAATTTTCTTTTTCATCTAAACAGCTTCATCTTTGTATCCCTTTTTCAATCGCCCTATTTTTGCATTTGAAATTGGAGAAATAAATCACATTTTACCTTAAAATTCATTCACATCTTAATACCTTTGATTTGACTGTAATCTTCATTTAGAAGAGCTTCAGCGTACAACTGAAAAAAAAATCTTCCATGGACAAACCAATGGTTAGAGTGTACACAGAGGAGGCGTATCCGTCGAATGCACAGGAGTCTTCGTAGGAAGCACCGTTGCCACTTGCTACCACAATCAAAGCACCTCTTCCATTGCGTCCCACATTGGCCGCATAAATCATGGCCTCCTAGAAAGGAAATGAGTACGTTGAAACATGCGGCAGATTAACAACTCAAGCCAGATTTCCTCACTTTGGAGTGGAAGAAATAGAGTAAGTTGGTTTAATCAACTAAAAAATCACCTCGCACCCAGTAGCCGGACGAGAAGAGAATAGGAGAGTAGAAAGAAGAATTAGCCCTCGAGTATGCATTGATTCATTCAATCAATCACCCATTACCAACTGACACCGAACAGGTCAAGAGATCTAATCAAGAGACAGAAGAGTAACAGAAGTCAAAGGTGCAACAGAGTTATCTAAGATCATTGAAACAGAGTATTCAAGTCAGAACCGCACTCTGGAACCTAAACCCTTGATAACCTAAAACTATTCATCCACGAAGAGAAGCACTACCATACGAGCTGTTCAGCTCTTTACGAATAACCCTTTCCCCTACTTAACATGAAGACATTTAGAGAAACCTAATTCTTAGGATTCGCATTTCAGTTCAGGTTTCAAGTGAGTTAATTGTCACCCTTAATGTTCATCCCATCAGGGCCATTACAATTATGTTAATCTATTCTTACCTTGGTGAGTTTATGAGGGCCGTCAATAACTGTTCCATTGTCTTTTGGACCCCAGGAACAGCTGTAGATATCGTTGCTATGAAACCCAACATGGTAAGCACGGGATTCTAATGCATCAGTGATTACTCCATCAAGCACGCGGATACCTAAGATAGACAAAAAACTTCTTACACTCAATATTTTCACCATCCCCCCCAATTCCCAATCTTATAAAGCCAAAAAGAATAACTCGCACAGATGTTTATTTTTCTACGCTTTGCATTCAAAAATTGTGTTTGCCAGCGCCTCACAAGATTCATAAAGCATGCAGATGACTTGCCTCCAATTTTGGAGCGGGGAGCAACGCCGACGCCACACACATTGTTTGCAACAGCTCCAATCAACCCTGCACACCTGTAAACAACAAAAAAATTAAATCATACGACTAGGTTTAAGAAATCTGCATATGAAGACAGTGCCATCCCCCATATTCTGATGTTCAGTAGTTCGACCTTACATCAGCCATCATTATAAACTGAGCAGTCATTGATTAGTGCGATCTTTGGACACCTTAGATACCTACCGATAAGATAGCAAAAAATGATCGACCAAAATGAGGTACTCGGGAAAACTTTCTAAATGGATACTTCTAGGTGACACGTTTTTCCGATCACACAAAATTCTGTATGGAAAAGCAAAGCTAGCAGGAATTTCGTGCGAGTGCAATCAAAGAGCCGATTTATCCCGCAGAGTAGCCAAATTCATAAGCCATGTCGGGAACTGACCGTGTCCCGTGATGATTGCCATTCTCAATGTCCAGTCTAGGTGTTGGATCCCCATCTTCTCCGTTGAGATCATAGCTGCATTTCCAACACTATACAAAACAATCCATTTATTCTACTGGCTGTTAAAACATATTCTAGGCTCAAAATTCATGACAGATTTTTCATATAACTTAGGCAATGTCCCCTAGTACCAAGTGTTTGACCTTTTTGCGATAGCGGGAAACTTACTTTTTATAAGCTCAATACGGATATCCGAGAAAAGGCAGCACATTCAAAATAAATAACTGAGATCCAAAGTGAGCAAAAAAAATAAAATTGGGACACAATTGATTGACATAAAATCCATAACCCCGATATTAAATTGGTATCTGAGGAAAACCTTATTGAGATGCTTAATTTAACAACTCCAAACTAATGACATTCTAGGCTATTTAAATCAGTCTAGAAAATGTGCATCAACCTAACTTGTATGTGAAGCGGATTTTTACGCATGACAAGAGAGAAATTAAAATAAGTTTTGGTCTGAACATTTAATGACAAGGAGATGTATGTCACCTAAATCTCAAATTATGATGGCGCTCTCGTCTTATCAGTTCTTTGCCAGGAGTATCATATTTAATTCTTCCAGTATAAAAACATAAAATTTTTGCTAAAAAATCATAAATGAAGTGGCTCACAAAGTTGTCTTGGATGTCTGGGTTCTGCCACTCCACTCCGTCGTCAATGATGGCGACGTGAGTGTTGTCTCCCAGAATGCCTGCTTCCCACACCTCCCAGCACTCCACATCATTGCCAGGCACTAATCTATTGACCTACAACACAAGTGCTTTCTTTTATAAACGTTTCTGCAGTTTTTAAAGGGATACAATCAAATATAAAAACGGTGTCGCATTACTATTGGCAACTGAAAAATTCTTCAAACTGAAAACTTTATCACTCAAAGTCAAAAACAATTAAGATTATTTGTATTCTCAGCAATTGGAATCGAAGAAAACATTGACACAAATCCATCCATTATTAGCGGAAAACACAATAATGGATTTCATGCTCACTTGTCAATACTCCCATTTTGAAAAGATAGGCAAGAGATCAGCTAACTGCTTCATGTCTACCTTATTTGTTGAATATAATTAAAAGAAACTTAAAAAATAAATAAAAGACTTTTTATCCACTTGTTTAAGGGTGTTTAAGCAAAAATATGATTGATACATTCTCTATTTATATATTCTGTATGAGATTTTCAATTCAACTTCCAGTAAAAAAAAAACCTATTTATTCTGGGTTGCAAACAAGAAATATCACCAAAAGATGCCTAAAAAAATGCATCACGTTAATACCCACTGAGAATTCAGAAAATTAAGTCCATTTTTGGAGCTAGAAGTCAAGCACGTTTCTTGTGACAGTTACATTTTAAGGTTAATTAGAGGGCTTTGCCTTACTTTTAACCGAAAAAACTCCAACCGCGAAAAATCAAATTAGAGAATGAACACATTTTAAGACTCTTCCTTTAAAAAATCATCAGGACCTATATTAGACTTCACTACGATCATATCTACTCTTCATAAGACTTTTTCAAGGCATCTGTGACAATAAAAAGTGAATAAGAATTGTAAATAAACAATTCAACTTACGTTGTCTGAAAGGCAGAAGTAATCAGAAGTTTTTTCCCGACACAGGATAAATTAATTCAGTTATTCATTGCAGCTCGAATCGCGACTGAGAAGGAATAAATCTCCTTATTCGTTTGACTCCATATGACGTTTACTTGTGCTACCACGATTTGCATTAAAAAAACCTGAACCCAAAACTCCTCCACATTTTAGGTAATTGGAAACAAATGAGCTGTAGGTAAGTTCCGATCAGATACATATATGCAAGAAACATATTTGTCTCTGAATGTTAAGGAGAGGAGAGGCACATATTAAGCTTAAAGAACTAATTAACAATGGTTTTGACAACTTATCAAAATTTTATGGGACATTCACTGAGCAGGACATTGTAAGTAAATAATAATAATAGTATCACAGTGGCGAGACTGCAGATTCGCAAACATGAGCGAGAAATCGCCAGAGATTGGGATGCACAAGCTTTAAAATGCACAAAAACTCAAATTTACAAATTATAATTTAAAATTTAATTAACTAAAGGCCGCTACACAAATTTTTTATATAAAAACTGAGATTATATTAAATCAAACTGCGTATTAATGAAGCATTCCAAAATATAGCGAATTGCAAAATTTTTAAAATTTTAATTATACAGTTGTATGAAACAAATAGCTTTTCCGGTCCAACAGGAATTAAACAAGCACGAACTGTGTTTACTTATTACCAATCATATGTCAAAGCGCATGTGACTATACTGCTAAAGCAACTAACGTTCAAAATTGCCACCAAAAGTAGCACTTTTATTTGCGACTTAGGTTTAAAAAAAAGGTGCATCGTACTATGACACTACGCTACGCCCGTGTAATCAAAATACAAATCATAATAATCCCAATAAAAGGGTCTAAGCACTTTCACTCTGAAAAGACCATAACCTGCTGCCGCTTATGAGTTTTCTTCAAGGAACAAATGAGTTTTCAGTTTCTTCTGGAAGTTGATGAGCGTTGTGGTCTCTTTCAGAGCGAGAATAGGAGCATTCCATAACTTAGGACCGGCAATTACCGGAAAAATCTCGCGTTCCGAAAGCAGTAAGGCACTTCAAAACAATGAATTCACAACAGCTCATATCTAGACTCGCTGGGTTCAAACGAAGTCGTTACGTGAAAAAAAGTGTTATTTGATAAAATCAGGCACGCTCAGAGAACGAAAAACTTTATACATTAAGTAAAGATTTTGAACTTGATCCGGCTGTCAATAAGTTAAGGACTTGTACTTTTCACGTTGAACACAGAGGCGAAACAGAGCTTCACCCCACTTGCGATACAAAAATGAATGACTTATGATTACCAGCAAATGAAAATACAAGTCAAAAAATGTTAAAATACCAGTCAAAAACTGTAAAAAAAAATATTAAAACCGCAAAAAGGACAACAATTCCTGGGAAACAACCTGAACCATAATAAAATTTACCAGGAGCTTTCAAAAAGCTCAAGAAACCGAACCTTTCTTGTGGACCTAAGCCGGCAAAAATGAGCAGAGACGAAAGTCTAAAACATTCGAAAATTTTCAGTTTCCGCAAAAAAAACAGGTCCCGACAGGAATCTAATTTCTGGGATTTTTCGTCTCAAGCATGGGTGTCATCACTGCACTAAATGCACAGAACACTCCTTGAGTTTCAAAGGAAAACAATTTCCAAAACTTTTTAATGAACAGCATGAAAAAAAATCAGAGCAAAAAAAATAGGCGAAACGTCTTGGAACTCAATTAGTTGCCCAAAATCGGAATACGCTGGAAAGTTTCAAATTTGCGGGAAAATTACCCAAATTTAAGTAGATTTTGTACTGCGGCAACTTAGCCGACAAAAAATGCAGACAAACAGTAGTGCGTCAAAGATTCTTTGACAGGCTGGCAATTTTCCGCTCACAAAAAAAAACGGGTCCTGGCCGATTCTAAACATTGACCTTTGTCTTTACATGCAGATGTGTTGGCTCTTCGCCACATGCGCAAACTAACGTCTAACTTTTAATTTCATTATGAACCAAAGGTAAAATGATTGAAGCATACTAAGCGCAAGCATACATATAGACTGAGATGTTAATAATTCAGAACCTTTTTGGTCTCAATTTTACTGATAAAATGTAGCCTGAAAAGCAAAAAAAAATCAGAACCTTGTTTTGTCTCAACACCGAAGAACAATTTTTTCAGACTTTTCAACGCAGTCCTGAAGAAGGCGGGTCTATAACACTTGATTTTGCGTAGGGAAGACACCGGAGTGAATGATTCCTACCCACTTGATGGTGGGGACAAAAGTAAGATAGCTTCGAAGGCCCAATAATTCAGCTTAACTTACTAAGTGCCACTGGTTTCCAAACTCGGGGTCCGTGATATTGTCCAACCTGAGTCGATTCTGATCTTCAAACTTGATAAGGTCTTCCGCAGTCGGAGTTCGCTTTTCCCGCTCCAGAACCGAATCATGGTTATTATAAAATTGAAGGTCCAAATCCTCAATTAATGACCTCAACAAATCCATACTCCAATCACAGTCCGAAATTGTAAGTTGATAATTCAGACTGCTGTCAAGCATTCCTAATCGGTCTACGTTATAGGCACAGTTCTTCGGAATGAAGTTGTCGAAATTCAGGACTAGAAAGAGCGAGGACGATTCGAAAACGAGGACTCGTGAGTCATTCTTTGGTTCTGGGAACTTTGTTGACGAATCAGTAACACAATGAGTTAGTGGCAGTGATGACAGTACAAGTATCAAAGTGTATATTACAAACATTCAGGAGCATTTTACGCACACCATGTAGATATTCGCTAACTGGATAACAGTAGTCACAAATTGCTATTCCATTCCACTTCTGAAATTGAACAAAAGATTAACAATTGTTTAAACGATTCAGTTCGTTCGTTAACACCAGTGGGAGAGCCAACTGTTTCGCTATCAGTACAATTAATGAAAAATTATTATCAAAAACGAAACTTGCATAAAAATAAATGTCTGATTCATTCGCAAAAGGAAACAAATTGAACCGAAGCGTTTAATTAAAAAGCATCACTTGACATTTCAAACTCCTGTTATTTAAATAGCAATAAGAACTGACAACTCAACTGGCTCAGTTTGTGTATAGTACACAGAAAGTAAAAATATTTTGACTTGTTCTCCGTTACTGATTCGGTACGCAAATAGTTCGATCACATCTACTTTTGAAAGCAGGATAGCAGTCATAAGAAAAGGACAACTTTTTATAAACTTGACGCTAAGTAATTGATGATGAAATAACGGTTTAGAAACATACACAAAAGAGTTTCAAAAAGTCCTTTTTTGGACTAAGTATTCGAATCTTAGATGATTCAAATGCAAAACTCCAGCTACTCCGTAGCCAGCATTTGACCCAACATTTCTAGTGCACGATGTAGCCAACAGACAGACAGACAGCTGGCAAAGTTTCCATGATCGCAAGGAAACAGAAAAAATACAAATATTCACTTGTGTTTTAAAAAACCTTATTTTCGAATTCAAAAAATATATATAAGCCTTAAAAGATGTTCAAAATTAAAGAACAATTTATTAATGACTCTCTCATTATAAAAATCAGAATCAATAGGTAATTATAATTATTCCGCTGAAAATCTGAAAATTAAATTTCACGTTCGAAACAAAGTCTCTTGGTTCGGAATGCCAGCTTAGTCTCAAAAAACGAAACTTGATTACTCGCTTGCTTAAAATGACATTGCAGAAAGCCTAACACAAATGTACACAGAATGACTACCGAGCAACAGGGAAATCTGGTACTAGTACTTTAATATATCTTTATTTTTTTTAATATTCTATTCAAGGCTAAATCACCTTCGAAAAGCGCTTCTCTCTAACCATACACAGTGAAAAAAACGGACGTAACCTTTTAAACTGGAACTTGGCTTACCAAACATGATTCACCAGACAGACACTCAAACCCTTCCGGTTGTTCTCTGGCAACTGTTAGTCGTCAGGATAGACAAATAGGTACAAGGGGGTGGCTCTCTCATAATGGCAACAAATCACCAGAAAAAAAACTGACTTGTCGTAAAAAAAAAACATTCAAATTTCGAAATTCCAAGAAAAAAATATGAACCCCTAAAGCTGTTCAAATTTCAAGAACAATTTATGATTGACTCTTTTTTCCTCTCACAGTGTGCATGCACTTAATAAGATCGAAATTTTGAAAAGGAATAAAATAAATCATCCGTCTCAAATTAATGATAACAAAATTCAAACCTAATAAAAAAAACTATGCATGAACTGGATTACTTTTGATCCATTCATCAATCGTTTTAATTGCTCTTCAACCACCGAAGCCTCTAAACTATTCAAATTGCTTTAAAAAAATCTCCCTTAAAAGCGTCATTTCAAGAAGATTTGATGCGGCATCACAAGCACTGTGAAATATTTTCTTTTTTATTCCAATGCTTTTTACAACATTTCAAACAGTCTTAATAAGTGAACTAAGAAAATGCTGGTTCGATGGAAGCTTCTTGAAATTGATTTATTTTATCTTATCTAACAAAACGATTCCAATGCGTAGTGGTTGATGGGAACCTTTATCAACCAGCGGCCGTCAAGAGCGGAGTGCCCCGAAGGAGTGTACTTGGAGATCTGCTTTTCCTTCTCTACGCGAATGATTATCCTGAATCCACCGGAAAACTCCAATTTTTTTCAAGTTTGCCGATGATACTAAATTGTTTTCACGTTCTTCTGTCACTGAACAACAAATGCGTAAGCATTTTGTGCAATACGAAATGAAGCACAGGACTTATGCTTCCTTTGAAATGACCCAAATCAGGTCACTAAGCCGATAAAACAAAAGCGAAATAAATTTTTTGAGAGAAAAAAAAACAAAACAGCAAATAAGGCTAGTAAAATTGAAAACTGCAGGAACAATTCAGAACACTGAAAGCAATTACATTGAAAATTTCGTATAAAAAATCAATTCTACGATATGGCAACTAAGCCGACTAAAGATAAGCAGACAAACTATAGTTTTTTTTTAGAAAGGAATACTTCCAGTTTTAAAAAAAAAACAGTTTCAGGTCATATTCGAACCCAAGACCTTTGTCGTCCCAGGCGTATTCTTCACCTCCACACTAAAAGCTGGACACGCGTAGAAATATGAATTCATTATGAACCAAAATACAAAAGATTCTGTTAAAGACATTGTTAACCTGAAAAAAGTCTTTATTCCGATTTGATAACGCTTGCTAATTGCAAGCATATAGATGATACAAGCAAACAACAATCTAAAATGTTACATTGAATTTTTTCCTGATGATAATTTGGGTGCAGAGATTTGGAGTTTTATAAGAAAATTTTTAAAGTTAAAAAAGTACGAAATTTATTTTAGGTTGTTTCTTTATTCCAACGTTTTTTTCCTGGTCTGACAAGATGTGACAACTAAGCCGACAACAGAAAAAGTTAGCCAGAAAAAGTCTATATTTCAGTTTGATAACGCTTGCTAATCGCAAGCGCAATCAAGGATCAGAACGGAACCATCAAAACTATTTAGAATCGCAAAAAAAATTGGCGCTACAAAAGCTCCAAAAAAATTAACTTTTTTAAAACTAAGTTATCAGGGCTTAAATTAATCATAACTAAGCTGTTTTTCACCTGCTCGCTCGCTTTATGTGCTCGAAATTGAAATACAAATCAAAATTTGTACGCGAGTTTTTCTCGCGAGAGGGAAATTTTTTTGGAAAGCATTAAAGCTCGTTCGAATCAAGGCTGACAGCGATTCAATTTGGTGTATCACTCGACCCATTCCAACGATGACTTGTGGCACCTGATGTCGCGCGAAAGACTAAGTAGAAAGGAAACAAGGTTAGCCGGCTACGGTGCGAGGAGTACAGAATGTTCCGACCATTGTCTTAAATTATGCAAAAAAGGCAGCAAAAAAAAACAATTCAAAGATGTGACAACCAAGCCGACCATTAAGCAGACAAACAATTGGCTGATAATTGCCTTCGAAAAAGCATATTCGACGATTTGACACGTTTGAAAAAAAAAACAGCTCCTGGCCAGATTCGAACCCACAACCTTTGCATTCCCAGGCATAATCGTTACCGCGAGGCTAAGTTGGCCGGGAACGCATGCAAGTTTGAATTCATTATGAGCCAAGATACAAGTGATTCTGTTTAATAAAATGTTGAACGGAAAAAGTCTATATTCCGGTTTGATAACGCTTGCTAATCGCAAGAGTAATCAGCCTTAAACTCGGTTGTTCACGTTTCCCGATCAAGTTTTTCGTGATCTTATCTTGTAGTGTTTGATTGTGGAGGTTATGTTCCTTTCAACAAAAGAAACGAACTGAACTGAGAAAGAATAAAACGTCAAACCACGAAAAATTATATTTTGGCATGATTAAATTTTATGACTTTTCCTATAAAAATCATTACGACCTAGAGAATTGTATTCTCTACGTTCATTGACAATATAAAATTCAAGCAAGCGCGAAAATCAATTCTACGATATGGCAACTAAGCCGACTAAAGATAAGCAGACAAACTATAGTTTTTTTTTAGAAAGGAATACTTCCAGTTTTAAAAAAAAACAGTTTCAGGTCATATTCGAACCCAAGACCTTTGTCGTCCCAGGCGTATTCTTCACCTCCACACTAAAAGCTGGACACGCGTAGAAATATGAATTCATTATGAACCAAAATACAAAAGATTCTGTTAAAGACATTGTTAACCTGAAAAAAGTCTTTATTCCGATTTGATAACGCTTGCTAATTGCAAGCATATAGATGATACAAGCAAACAACAATCTAAAATGTTACATTGAATTTTTTCCTGATGATAATTTGGGTGCAGAGATTTGGAGTTTTATAAGAAAATTTTTAAAGTTAAAAAAGTACGGAATTTATTTTAGGTTGTTTCTTTATTCCAACGTTTTCTTCCTGGTCTGACAAGATGTGACAACTAAGCCGACAACAGAAAAAGTTAGCCAGAAAAAGTCTATATTTCAGTTTGATAACGCTTGCTAATCGCAAGCGCAATCAAGGATCAGAACGGAACCATCAAAACTATTTAGAATCGCAAAAAAAATTGGCGCTACAAAAGCTCCAAAAAATTAACTTTTTAAAAACTAAGTTATCAGGGCTTAAATTAATCATAACTAAGCTGTTTTTCACCTGCTCGCTCGCTTTATGTGCTCGAAATTGAAATACAAATCAAAATTTGTACGCGAGTTTTTCTCGCGAGAGGGAAATTTTTTTTGGAAAGCATTAAAGCTCGTTCGAATCAAGGCTGACAGCGATTCAATTTGGTGTATCACTCGACCCATTCCAACGATGACTTGTGGCACCTGATGTCGCGCGAAAGACTAAGTAGAAAGGAAACAAGGTTAGCCGGCTACGGTGCGAGGAGTACAGAATGTTCCGACCATTGTCTTAAATTATGCAAAAAAGGCAGCAAAAAAAAACAATTCAAAGATGTGACAACCAAGCCGACCATTAAGCAGACAAACAATTGGCTGATAATTGCCTTCGAAAAAGCATATTCGACGATTTGACACGTTTGAAAAAAAAAACAGCTCCTGGCCAGATTCGAACCCACAACCTTTGCATTCCCAGGCATAATCGTTACCGCGAGGCTAAGTTGGCCGGGAACGCATGCAAGTTTGAATTCATTATGAGCCAAGATACAAGTGATTCTGTTTAATAAAATGTTGAACGGAAAAAGTCTATATTCCGGTTTGATAACGCTTGCTAATCGCAAGAGTAATCAGCCTTAAACTCGGTTGTTCACGTTTCCCGATCAAGTTTTTCGTGATCTTATCTTGTAGTGTTTGATTGTGGAGGTTATATTCCTTTCAACAAAAGA